CATAACATAATACAATATAAATGATGCGGTCTTCCATTTACACTAGTGAAAGAATGTCAACATTAGCTCGCTTGTAACGCTCTTCTTCGTCTTCTTTTCTTTTGAGATAAGATGCAGGCTGGATAGAAACTTGCGGCTCGGTGACTTCTCCGAATCCGGCTTCCTCAGAAGTTTTGGCGGTAAGACGAAAAGTTTTGTGGATGCTGGTGTTGTTGAGAAAGACAAAATTTCCCGCTGAAGGGCTGGTGAATGTAGGAGTCTGATCATAGGATACTTGCCTGGGTAAAGCGGGAAAAAGCTGTCGTGGTGGTAACTGTTCGCTCTTTAGGCTTTTTACCTTCTCTATTTCACTTTCGATGATTCGTTTCTCCGCCATCATTAATTTGTGAGGTGAAGGAAACAGGACATCGAGATCCGACGACTTTATGTATTTCAAAGAGTCTACCGTGCGGAAACTTCTGCTTTCAAATTCCCCGGCTAGACGCTCGAGTTCGAGTCCATTAGAAATTGAACAAAGCCCTTGGTACACTTCACTTTTCGGCGTTGCCATCATGGCGAGAAAGAGCGGGAAATGACTCAAAGATGAACGCAAATTTTTATATTTCGATGCACATCGCAGATTACATACCAGCGTGACGGCTATCAAAATTTGTCAGGCTTGAAAATTTCAATTCTCGGAAAAAAGATACTAAACCACGCTTAAATTCAATTTTATTACATTGTAACAACGAAGCCACAAAGGTTTTTTGTACTTATATTTGATGTTTCTACAAAATATTTATATGAAAAAAAAAAATAATAACTAACAATGCACACTTACAAAATTTATTTTTTATTTTCTAAGATGTAATTTTTCTCGAGCACCAAGGCAGCTAGTTTATCACGCGTATGATTGCCAGGTACAGATATTCACATAAAACAAGAAGATCAAGAACTCCTTATGAGTTTCTTTCTGTATCAAATACCCACAGTGCCTAAAATATGACATCGAATTCTTTTGCGTGATTCTGTCGCATGCTTCGTGAATGACATGGATAATTGTCCATTTCATCATCTCCCGTGATGAAATGGACAATTATCCATGATAACAGTATCACCCCTTTCAAGGAGAACAGAACTATCCCGCCTCGTTATTTCCACAGCTTCCTCAAAGAAAAACAAGAGTTCGTTACCGTTGGAAGCGCCTTCGAGTATATTTACAAAACCGACTCCCAGACAGGAATGTAAAAGATTTATTGTAAAAGTTGCATTGGATGCAGATCTCTGGATTTCAAAGGCAGGAGTCCCGATTATTGAATTTCCGTATCGTCTGTTCATTGTAGTTTTTGTAACACTTGCCTCGTCAAAAATGTGGATTGTACTGACAACCAAATCACTGACCTGATTAAGAGAGAAGTTCGTACGGGCTTCGATCTCTGCTGTTCTAGATTCAGACGGTACCGTGTGAGTTTTCTTTTTTGTCATCAGTAGTTCGTTTCTAACGAATTTGGTAATTGTACTTGGATGAGGCAAGTCCGCTGGGTGTAGAACGCCATCCAATACAAGTCTATTCTGTAATTCGGGAGTAGATACTAGGTTTATAATTTTTTTCAATTTCAATGCATTCAGCAGCATCTAGAGTCAGAACAGTGTGACCTTTGTGGCGTTTTGGTGGTTGAAAACAAGAGTTTGTCAAATTGTAGTCACGCAAGACATTTTGAACAAAACGACGACTTGCACAAAGTTGTTGTGCAACTGTGCGCTGAGATACTCCATCGTGGTGAAGATCCAAGACCCTTTCGCGAACAAAGTTTGGTAAACGTCTACCGTTATCGAAAAGCCCACCAGCCTAATTGATTCTAAGTTGCACGGACATAATCTCGCACTTATCCAACACTAACTGCTTCTCAAAAAAGGAAGCGAAGGAGTATATACCAACGGTCGCTTTGTAATGATTGGCTTACGCAAACCACAAAGGCGTAGAAAAAATTATTAGGGCCGATTTCTGTTTTGAAATTACAACCGCTCAGGTATCTTTCAATATCGATTGAAATTTGTTCGAAAAAGGGCTGCTTTGGTAATCGACATTTATTTATTGACTAAAACTGTACATACAGTCGGAAAATCAAACGCGGCCGCTTCAAAACACTGATCGAAATTTTGAATCTGCCGCAGCTGTTCCCACAGTTGAAAAATACAAGTTAATTTAAGGATTAAATTTGGTTGGCTTTTAAAACCACAAATCGAAATTCTTTGTTAACGAATCGGTTTCTGATTGGTTAAAAAACTTCAGGTGGCCCCGGTTGAAGTCGTTGCACTGTAATGAAGCATAACAACCGAAAATAGCAGCAGAAAATACCTCAGGCGTTCTATATTGGGCGTCTGCAAACGAAGAAAGACTAGGAACCAAACTTCCCTGCTGGCCAGCGTGCTATACGCAGATTTTGTGCGCAAAAAAGAATAAGTCATTCATTTCAACAGGTCCTCTGTATTCAACGAGGCGGCAAAAGGTTTTTACTCATATCAATAACTGCTCAACAACAAACCTACGATACCTATTGAAGCAGTGTTAAAATAGAAAAAGCGTGATATTTTGGCTGAAAATAAAATATCTTTCTATTTGAAGAGGCGGTTGTCACAAATAAACATTATATTTCTGAACCAATATACGCGGTGTATGCGTATTCGCATTAAGAAAATAATTTCATTTGAAATTTACACTTCTTCTCGTGCTCAATATTATGGTGAGGAAATCGAAATTTGAGTGGATAAGATTCGATGGGCAACAAAAATGTGCAGTGATGATTATATCGTAGATTTAATACCTTGAACATAGGAGGCGCGGTTAATCGTGTTGTTTGAACGAACGTGAAATACGTTGTCATTTACGTTATCATTTTACCCGTGAAAACATAAAACAATCAGCAGAGATCGGGGACAAAGTAGATTTTATTTTGACAAAAAGCTGGATTAATAGGCCAAGGCCAATGAATTTGGGAGGAATTTGTTCCCAGCTTATTATTAGGGAGGGTACGTTTAAGTGGATGGGCTAATGTTATCGAAGCCTGGAGCATTTGCACCGAGGCTGGAAGGAGTAGCTTATTCATCAGGATGTCAGTCCTCGTCTGTTCCTCATTAGCGTCAAAATTTGGATTTTGAAGTCTTGAAATCAGAGATACCCGGAAGGATATATGTGCCAAAATACAAAACAAATGTGGCCGTGATATTGTAAGCCACTCTTCAAAAAGTGCACTCATATCTACCGACTCCTTCATTCGATTGCTCCATGATGAGGTTTATCGCTAGGACGCAATTATTTTAAGTTCACTGGAATATCGTGGTGCCCGAAATATTCCCGGGGTTTAAAAGTGTATCAGGACTTATTAAAAATCTAGCAGTCCTATTAAGTGCATGAAAATAAGTTGCTAAAAGAAAATTATTAACACGTTAATGGTGACGTGATCGTGAACAGGCGAAAAATTTTGCTGCACTTGTTCAAAGTAATCCTCTATTTAACAATTTCGGAGGGAAAATGTGGCCTTGATATAGTTAGCCACTTTTAATAAATGCGCTCATATCTGCAGACTCCTTCATTTGATTTTTTTCATGATTAAGTTTATCGCTTGCACGCAATTATTTAAGTTCACTGGAATATCGTGGTTGCCGAAATATTCCCGAGCATTGCAAGTGTATCACGATCTATACACATGAGAAGAGCGACGTCTGTGTAAAAAATCCATTTAAGAAAAAAAGAGACTAGACTCAAAACTCCATAGAAAACATGTATAAACTTGTTAAACGAACCACAAGATTTGGCTAAAATGAAAACTCCAAAACTTCTCAAAATTCCAATCAAAGGAGAGAAGTAACAAAAAGCAAGTAAAACTCGCGAAAAAAAACTAAAAGTACACGAAAATGTCCGCGTCAGTTTTTCCATTGTCAAGGTTAGAGTTCTTTGATGCGATTGGCTAATTTGTGAAATCACGGGCACCGCGCGTGAATACAAAAAGAAAGCAAAGGGGGAAGAGGAAGAGAAAAATTGCCATTTCAAATTTAAAGACGAGAGAGATTTTCTACAATTTGAATCAGCTGCCTCTCCATTGTCGAATAATCCGACAGACCTTGTCGAACTTGACGATATTTACCGCTCCTAATTAAAGCTGTAGAACCGAACTGACTCAGACGTCGCTCTTTTTCCGAACTTAATTCGTCAATTAGTTTCGGCACATGAGTGGAAAGACGTCTGAACTAAGCTTTGAAAAAAAAAAGCAAATTAATAAACACTTTAATGGTGATAAGCAGGCGAAAACTTTTGCTACAATTGTTCAAAGTCACCCTCTGTTTTGCACTTTCGAGAAGAAAATGTGGCCCAGATATTGTTAACCACTCTTAAAAAGTGCACTCATATCTATAGACTCCTTCATTTGATTGTTCCATGATAAAGTTTATCGCCAGGACGTGATTATTATAAGTTTACTGGAATATCGTGGTTACCGAAACATTCCCTACAATTGCAAGTGTATCAGGACCTGTAAAAAAATCCAGTCGTCCTATTCAGTGAATGCGATTAAAAAGATAAGAGAGTAATCTCTCTGCAGCTACGTAAATCTATCAGTAAAATGACCTTATAAGAGTTTACATAAACGGAACCTAATAGGAGAAAAAAACACTTCAGATACATACGTCAATGACTAAAGATCGTTTTCATCCTGGGGCCTTTGCAGTAGCTTGGCTTGGCTAGCTTTCTAAGCTAGAACATTGAAAAAACATTGGATTAAAATGTTTATCTGGAAGTGTTATTCTCCTCTTTGTCTTTCCCACTAGACTGATCAGTTTCAAGAGGCGAGTAAATTGTATAAATGATCATAGTGCAGCTATAGAAATGTTTTGGGTTATATCGTCTTCTCAGCCGGTTTCATCAGGTTACAACAGTATCACGTAGGTTTACATACCAAACTGAAATATTGGTGAACAAGACTGATCGAGCAATTTATCTGTTGATAAACAAGGCTTAGAACACGACCATGCAATATGGAAATCATTCACTTTTATTTGCTATCAAAGGATATAAAATGCACTGTACACCCAGCGAATGAGCCAGAGGCACGGGAGACTTCGCCATGAACAGGTTTCTCCTTATCGCCGTTTCTGGATCGGTTCTTGTTATCTCCTTGGCATTGAGTATGACTGATTATGGAAAAGAAGAGAAGACAGCGGTCTGGACAGATTCGTTAAGGTACTAAGTTTAAAATTGTAGATATCGTATCCTTTATTGCCACCAATTAAGCACAGAGAGGAAAAACGATACAAACTCCACTATAAAATTGTAAAGCCCCTTTGGCCCGAATGAAGTTTGATTTAACTAGTATAACAACAAATACCCTTATGAACCTATTTATTTACTGTGGGGCACTCATTACTTGTCTCCAATCCATAAGGTTATTTTTGGTACTGTATTATACGAAATAACACACAATGGTGGCGTTTAGAACTGGGCGTCTCCCTATACCAGATGCCTTGACCATTGAGGCACTTATTGTGTGTTCTATTTCATTTTACGCAATGTATCTTTTACCACTAGGTGAAACAAATCTCATTTTATATCAGCGAAGATATATAGAATAAAATGTATTTTCTCATTGTGAACATCGATAATAGACAATATAAGACTTCCCACATTCCTCAACTGTTCTTGATACAAGCTCCTGGTAAGAATCAAGCTCATAGAAATCTGAACAAAGATCTTACAGGAACGTTGGAAAAATATTTTGGAGCGCTGCCTTCTGGACTTGTCATATTTTCAAACGCGGAATACGATAAAAAGAAAGAGAGGAAAAAAACAATATCTGAAATTGGAATGGTCTTGATGAGCAAAACTGGCGTTTAAGGTTCTTCGAGAATGAAGGGCTCTCCGTGGTTTGCTTATGCTTGGAAAATTTTAAGGGAGCATTGCATGATATCCCAAAGAACGTCTAAGACCACAAAAACCCCTGCGATTGAACCCCAGGAAAATTAATCAAATCTGAAAAGTATCTTAAATTTTGTGAGCTTCAAAACGATACGATCTTTTTAACCTTACCGTTGAAAATTGCATATATCATATACGCAAACAACACAACCTTAACGAGCGCAATCACCTCGTAGATAAACTGCTAAACAACCAAATTTAGAAGCTCTCTACATAATAAGAGAAAAAGGAAATTGCTGCTTCAAAGCCAGCGCGCTATTTAGCACCCACTTTCGAGAAGTAAATTGTCCCCATTGCACTAGTGGTTTTAAATTGTAGTTTAAACATTCATGAAGGCTAAGATGAACAAAATAGTAAAGCTTATTTATCTACGCAAATTTGTCTAAGGGTTGCTAAAAGTTTTTTGACTTACGAACTAAACGTAGAGGGCTACAGAGGGACGAGAACGATTGTAAATAACACATATAAGGCTTAATAATGTAAGGAGAATGCATGGATAGAATTCGTTTGCTATTTTATATCAGTTTTTTTTTATAATATCATCCATTTTGGTGACCATATCACCATAACATTTTATCATCCAGCTTACCTGAATTGTTTATAGCAATAATAAAGCACGAATCGAGTTTAAATATTCTGCGATATTGTACGGGTTATTTCTACAATCGATCATTTTGTACTGTAAAAAGCCAATCCGATATGCAAGCGTTACGCAGTACCTGTCACAAACTGCTTCTCTATTTGCTTTTATTTCCCTGCATTATGATGTACCTAAAATAAGTAGTCGGATAATGAACACCTTCGTAAAAGTTTTGATGTGAAGAACCGCTGAGTATTGTTAGACGTTCTTTGGGCTCTTTAAAATATGTTGCAAAAGGAAGAAATGCATCGACGCTGATTTATTCCATCCTTATTTACTGATGTTTTAATTTAAACAACTGTCCATAGCCCATGCTACCTCTGAAAAGACAGACTAAACTGCGGCGAGATTAGAACTTTATTGGTAAAATATTTGATAGTTGCACTTTTCACTTCCCCTCCTTCCCCTCGTTACAGCAAAGCGTGTCAACACGGAACACCAAGAGGCTATGCTTTCATTTTCTTTTGGCATAGGAACTCTTGCTTCAATTAGGAGAACTTTTCTTTCACTCCTTTATTTTCTCTAATCTTAAATTTCCTTCAACTAATTAATATTAAAAATCACAGTTTATTATCGAGTTCACACCATCAACTCAATATTTTACCGGGGGAAAAAAAATGAACAGCCGCCTCAAAAGAAGCAAACTATACTCGTGTCAGTACCTAAAACTTTTTTCATTCTATTTTCTCACAATCGCGCGTATACAAATCCAATACATCTTAAGATATGTATTACACTTGCTTTCTCATTCAATTTGTCATTAAAAAGCTTTTCGTGGATTATATATGGGATTTAAAGGCCAATAAACATGTGCAACGATGACCATATTGGAAGGTATGTGGCCTAATCATACATTTGAGAGAAAGAGTTCATTTTTGTGGTGTGATCGATCGTGAGAGTGTGACTGTTGTAGGGCGTACCAACTGACGATTGGACAACTTAAGTAGAAGTGGGAAATCATCATCAGAAAATGACCGAAGGCGATCGGAGACGAAAATAGATCTTTTTTTAACTCTTGACAAAAAAATTCAATATTCAGGCCAAATGACTGAAAAGTTGAGGAGATTAATTTTCCGCGATACGGTTTAAGATTGATAACAAGTGTAATGGCTGTCAAAGGTTAATTTTTTCAGAATTTCGCCCTCTTCTCTTATTTATCAGTGCTGACCACTTTGAATTCTTGAAATCAGAGATCTCGGAAGTAGAGATCTGCTAAAACATGATGCAAACGCGAACGCGAGAAAGTGCGCTCAGGAATATCAGCGTCTCAAATAAATTCGTGATCGAGCACTTTATCTTTTGATAAAGAGGGATCTTAGAGCTCGGAATCAATATGAAAATCAATCACTTGTACCTACTATCGAAGGATATGAAATTCACTGTGCACCACGACGCACGAGTCTCCGACGTGGGCTCATCAAAATTCAACACAAAGGAAAAAAGGGCATCGACGCTTAATTATCATTAACATTTATCGATGTCCCGTTTTTAGAAAAAGAAAGCTGACAGCATAAATTGCAACGAGAAACGAACTTGGTTGGAGAAATCTTGGTTGGTCTTGCATGCATTTTTTTTTTCTTTGCAGAATAGCGTGTCTTCATTTTCTCTTGGAGGTCGTCAGAGTTACTAAGTATCCTAATATTATCGGCGCCAAAAATAGATCTGTTTCCTCTCACCCTTGACGTAAAGTTTCGTTTTCAAGCCGAGGTGATCGTGACTGAATAGTCGAGGAAACATTTTTCACACCATATGCTTAAGGCTACCAGGAAGTGGAAAGACTGACGGACTGAACGCCAAGAACATTCGTGCCTTGGCTGAGAGAATAAGTTTATTTTTCAGAATGTCCTCTTCTGTTATAAGTTTGATTTAGAGATACTCGAATGCAGAAATCTGCCTAGGCACG